TAAAACCTCAGCTCTGGCAAACTTCTGCTGAATTCCATGCAAAGTGCATGTGCACGGGCAGAGAAAGTGTTACAGTGACAGAAGTCAGGGATGCAGAGGCATCATCACCTGGGATATTTTCATTGCCTTTGCCAAAGGCCTGGGACAACCTTACTCCCTGTAGTGTCACACTGCTCAGCCACGAGGTTCAAACCTGCCTTTTCCTTCTATTAACCAGACAGATGAGAAAAGGGATTTTCTCCCAAAGCTCCTGCCCCCAAGACAGGCGCAATCCCTGCAGAAATGCCCTCACTGCTGCAGAGCCAACACCCCTGCCCTGACCTTGCCCTGCAGCGCCTGGGTTGTTTTGTTGTTTGCATTTTTTTTTTTTCTCCCTGACGGAGATAAAAGTCCATCCTATCCGTCATTTTATAGCTGTTCCTGACGAGAAAAGTCCTCGGGACTCTCATTCCCGCCCGGCGCCAGGTTTGGAGTCGCCGAGCCTGGCGTCACAGCCTGTCCCCGTCCCCGCCGGCCCCTGGTGGCCAAATGACTCATCCCTTTTCCGGAGGCTGTTCCGCCACCCGGAGAGGAATGCTTTCTGGTCTGGTGGCTGCACACACGGTTCAACGCGTGCAGGCACCGAAAAACGAAACGAGAGCGGGCGATGAGTAATGCTGTGCCTGTGGGTGCTGCGAGCAGGGTGGGGACGGGGTGACTGTGTGGAGAGGAAAAAAAAAAAAAAAAAAAAGAAAACAAAGAGGGTGGTGAAGCCCTAAGCAGGGTGTGGGGGGTGCAGGGATGGGTTACTTGGGGTCAATAAATCATTGATTTCCAGGGGTGGGGAGGAGCAGCGCCGTCCGCTGCCAAACGGGGCTTGGCTGTGTTTCCACATCTGGCCTGGCACACACATCCTCCACTGGATGAAACCATCTCCATAAGGTAAATGCTCAAAATAACCCCATGGATGCACCTACATTTTGACCAGAGAAGCTGAATGAGGGACAAAAATGCCAGTGCTGGGCACGCCTAACTCCGTTACATCTGTTGGTGCATGAAACTCACCTAAGTGGGAATATCTGCAGTCAGTGGAGCTGAAATATTTTGTCACAAGCACAGAGGCTTTGGGGGCTTTCAGGTGAGTCCAGCTGAGGAGGTTGAAAGGCTTGAAATTGCCTGGGGACCTGATATCTTGGGGAACGCATGAGCCTCACACCAGGGTAAAACATTACAGGAGAACCCTACTACCAAGATGAATGCCATAGAAGGATCTCGCTCTAAAATAAACCTGCTCCCCTGAGATACACTACACAGGAAACTATTATCTATTACACTTCTCTGGAAATAAATATTTGGCTGCTACTTTGGAGTAAATAGAGATGAGAACTTAATGGTCCTTAAGTGTTTTTCATAGTCAAAGCATCCCAAAGTGCTCTCTGGTAATTAAGGCTGAAAAGCTGTCAGGAGGCAAGGGAGCCCCTTGTAGCCACACTCCCAATATCCATCACTTTTGCCAGCAAGTGAGCAAGGGAATGATGATCAGTGAAGGAGTGGTACAATTTCAACTATAGAGATGCTGGAGGTTATTCTGATAAAGAACAGCAGCCCCAGGGTAGGATTTGGGTGAGGAGATATCTATAACCAGAAAATCTCTCTGCAGCCGTGGTGTGGCTGAGGGCCCTGTTGCTGAGCTTGTATCTGATTTATCTGTGATTTTAAAGCTTTGTGGTGTTTTGGGCCAGCTGAGGTGCTCAAGGGTATGAAGACATCCCCATGGGGCTGGTGAGGTGGCAAAGGACCTCAGGAAATCCCTTTGATGCAGCAGGATGGGATGGGATAGGTAGTCCTCAGACATCCCTAATGGCACTAATTTGATCCCGGCACCCCCACGCTGTGTTTCACAGCTCCTACAGCCCTATCTCCCCAGACAGCTCAGTGTGTTGTGGCTGCTCCTACACCTCACCGAACACCCCAGAGGAGATAATTCTGTTGCTGAGGTTGTCTCCTTTTTCTGCTCTCCACAAAGACCCGGGGAGCACCGGTTTTCCAAAATCTAGTTCATTCCCTGCTTTAGCCGCACCCCTGCCACCCAGTTTTGGAGAAAAGGACGTGGACATTCTGTGTGAGCATTACAGCACTGTGCCCAGCCGTGTTTTGCCACTGGACATTACATTGCTGTTCCACCTGCCATCCCCACACAGCAAACCCCGTGTGAAGCGCCGCATTTTCCGCAGCCTTCCCGAGGTCACAGCTTTGCCCGGCAGCGCCAGGGAACGAGCAGCTCTGTCCAGGCACTTGGATATTGAGAGGCAAGTGAGGCGCAGGAGAAGCACACGTGCCCTGTCCCTGTGCTGCCAGGCTCCCGCCTCCCTCTTATCCTGCGCCATAAATCACAGCTGAGCAGCACAAGCTGTTCCTGTCATCGAAACACGGAAAGCAACGCTGCTCTTGGCACGGGGGATGTGATAATGACCCTGAATTAGGGCTGTACGTCTCCGGCACCTGATTCTCCTGCTCCTGTGGGTGCAGCCTGAGGTTTTTCCTCCTGGATGTTGCAGGAACAGGTCCAGGTCTGGCTTATGTGGAGGGAGAATTTAAAGGAGCAATGTCCAGCCTGGCTTTCTGAGCAGCTTGTGACAAGAGGTTTCAAGTACCCAATGGCCACGGCTGCCCTGTGGGCAGGAGTAGGGACAGCCTGTCACTGCTGTCACATCAGGGAACAAACAGGGGATGGCTGTGGTGTTTAGCACTGGGTCAAGGCACATGCATAGTCACTAAACTCCTAATGTGGTCCCCCCAATGGTTCCCAGCTCTGCTGAGCCCCTGCCAGGAATGGAGGGTAATTAGAAATTGTGACCTCGTGTGACATCCCCAAAATTGCCTCATGGCCCATGCACTGAGCACACAGGATTAGATCCCCAGCCCAGGCATCAGGCACCCTCCAAAACTACCAGGCACTCTAAGACTTCATTTCTCAGCACCTGAGTAATTCTTGGAAGTAGTTTGAGGTGTTCCCTTTAAGAAGATCTCATTTCCCAAAGCCTTTGATCTGTGTTATTTTAGTTCCTTCTGAAGCTCAGAGACAAAACTTGAATACAGTCAGGCAAGACTTCAGGTGCTGGTGTGCTCCTGACACGTGGCTGTGCAGTTGTTCTTGGAAGGGACATTTCTGAGCCCAACAGCTTCAGGCTCTTTCAGAAGTGTCCTGCCCACGGTGGGGGGTTAGAACTAAATGACCCTTAAGATACCTTCCAACCCAAACCATTCGGTGATTCTGTGATCTGTGGTCTAGCAGCAGAAATCACATGTGCTGTCTTACATGGAGCAAGAACCATTCAGTAATACTAAAGAGTAGAAAAGCTGAGATTTAGGGTTTTTTTTTAACCTGTCAGAATAGGAGAACTGCCAAAGCACTGAGTGCCCAGGAGACACTTCAAAGTGCAGCCCAATAAAGTTGAGAGCTGAAAACACAGCCAGGACTCTGCTCCTTCACAAGCCTTGAAGGAGGTCCTGCAGGTTTCATTTTCATTTGCTGTAACAAGGAAGGTTTGTGTGTTTGCAGATCAGAGCTCTGGATAAAGGTGGCGAAAAGCAGCTCCCGTGCGTCACTGCTTATCTGTGGGTCTGCAGGCAAACACGGGGGACAGAGTGCAAGGCTGAGACAGGCCGTGTCGTCGTTCCTGGCCCGCAAAACTCCTTTAGCAGTCGGTGGTAACCGTGTTCAGTTCTCCTTCGGTTGGCCAATGCCCTCTAGTGGCTTTTGGAGAGGAGAAATGTGCATTCCACAAAAGAGAGGATTTCTCTGAAATACTGCTGTGCCCTAGGTGTGTGCAGGGTTTGGGAGGGGTGGGACGCAGGTGGTTTAGAGTGATAGAAGAGCTAAATCAAAATCCTTCATCCATAATTGTGCAACTCATACGCAGCAAAAGGGGGAAATGGAGGGCTGTGGGATTCCCTGTGTTTTCCAAGAAGGTGATTTGTAGTTCACAAAATCATAAAATGATTTGGGTTGAAAGAGACCTTAAAGATCAGCCAGTTCCAACACCCCTGCTGTGAGCAGGGCCACCTTCCACTAGGTCAAGCTCAAATCAAACCCAGCCTTGAACATGTCTAGTGAAGGGGAAGGGGTGGTTTTCTAGTTCATGAAAAGACAAATCCTGCTTTATTGTGCACATACATCTCTCCTCCTCCTTCCCTCCCTTTACCAACCCTGCTGTGTGTCTAATAGGGAGATGGCTTTTATTTGAAAATATTATGCACTACAGACAGACTTGCCCAGCTGGCTGAGGCCCCTGCACACCTAACAGCACAAGGGATTGTTTAACACTGAATTTATTGCTTCCTCTCTAGAAAAGCACCTTCCAGAAATGCCCTTTTCCTTACTCTTAGTCTTATAAAATGAATTTAAAAAATAATCATCCTGGATTTAAGAATAAGTTAGATTGTGCTTTCTGTGGGTCGAGTTTGCCACTACACTTGAGGCAGATGGTCTCTGTATGAGCAGCGCTGTATTGAGGCTGTTTGTTTAGGAATATGGAGAGAACCCAGTTCTGCAAGCAAAACTGCTTGGCTGCTCTGAGAATAGAACAGGATAGGAATATCTATCCTTGTACCCTGCAGTGCACACATTGCTCTGCTCCCACTGGCCTGGAAGCACCAAGCTGACCATCTTTGCTGATGGTGGGGTTATCCCTAAGGAAAAACCCATCCTGGGCATTTTCAGGGTGGGTTTGGTGTTGAAACCACATTCCTGAGGAGCTGTGCTGGCTGCCACGGCCCAGCCCCAAGTTAAGGACACCATCACTGGAGTATTCACTGGAGTCTCCTGCCCTGCTGGCCTGGTCTGAGCTGTGCCTAAGGCTGAGTAAACACAGCAATGGTTGCAGTCACTGAGACTTTATTACCCCATTAGCCACACCTTGCTGTTAATAGCCCAGAGATGCAGAAGGGATGAGAGGAGGGTTAATGAGCAGAGATACTTCATTCTTATCTGTTATATTCATGCACCAGTCAATCCGTCTCTAGAACCCCCCATTATTCTCCATAGTCTGGAAAACAAAAAAGAGATTAATTCAGCAGAGAGCCAGAATAAGGCATATCTCTATCCCAGGTAAAGCTCTGAAGAAGGGTTTGCTCCCAGCTGGCCCAGGAGATTGCTCTAAAAATCTGTTCCCGCACAAAATGGTTTATGGACCACAGTAACCTCCCCCTTCCTCACACTGATTTAAAATACCTCTCCCCACCTTTCTTTCCAGCAGGAGTCATAGTTTGCCGCTGCATTTCCACAAAACCATCCCCTGTGCCTGGGATACAGCTGCTCCTTGTGCCCATCATTATTTCTGGGAGCAAAGAGCTCGTTGTTCACTCCCAAACATAAAGCCGAGGGTGGACAGTGCAGCACTGCAGGACTTGCATTTGCAGAGATACTTTATGTTTGCTGCATTTCCCATTCAGCTGAATCTTTCCATGGTTTCCTGCAGCAAGGTTTTGTCTGGGTGAATAGTGATGATAATTTTTTGGACACAGAGCCTGGCTTGAATTTTGTCCATGGTCCTCAGCAGAGCGTTTGCAGCTCCAAGGCAGCAGCTCCTTCCTTGCTATTGTTTGATTACACCAAAAGTAACATCAAATATCCTGACTTTAGACCTCTCCAGATTTCCCAGCTTGACCCCTAATGGTCTAATGAATGAAAGGCTCCAAGGCTGCTCCCCTGGCAACCCCTTGCTTTCACAGGAGATGCACCAGGTTACCTCACAGACATTAAGCAACTTACACTGTAGATCCAGTCCACATAGGCTGACACTCGAGTGAAGACTGTTGGTTTCTGGTAGGTATTACAGTAGGGCACCAACCCAAAACTGACGATCCCATGGACTTCCCAGTGATCATCTTTGTAGCAGTTGAGAGGGCCCCCAGAATCCCCCTGGATCAGAGGAAGGAAAGGAGCATATTAAGGCAAATTTTCTGAGCAGCTGGAAGACTGGGTAGGATTAAGGAGCATGGAAATAAACGTGAAAACAAACATGAAAATATAAATTTGTGCTGCTTTCTTTTCCAAGGGCTGACTGGTCCCCAGCAGTGTGAGAGCAGAGGCTGCCCAGCACCTCCCAATATGCTGCAGAATTCAGCCCCTCTATGTATCATCTCAGTCCTCATGCACATATACACACTTACATATACACACCCCCCCCCCCCCCCAGGATGGGCTGAAACCCTAATTTACCACCACTGCAAATTTAGTGACTGTGAACAAATGGTCCAGGGCACAGTCCATAAAACTCAGTCCTTTCCCACAAGGTCCACCTGCCCAGCATCTCTGTTAAAAAATCAGTGCACTCTCCAGTTATAAGGGACCAGGGAGAAGGGAAATGCTGTTCCCCTTGTTTTTCGGAAACAGGTATATTCAAAGAGTCCCAGGAATTTAAAGTGGTGAAATAGAAAGGAACTCAAATTAAAATATATGAGAAGATAAAGGCTTTTGCTTGGCTCAGGACCTGGTTTTTAGCAGGGTTCTGCCATAATTAAACCTCACCAAAAAAAAAATCCAAAACACTAAATATCTACAGACTTGTAATTACCTTATACCTATAATTGACTATGCATAACTGTTTAACCTGTTTTATTTCTAGATGTGTCTCTATTATATTCATATATTTACATAACCAAACATATTATGTATTTGTCCACAATTTTTTAAGGGCTCTGCATGGTGGCTCTTACCAGAAGCCACCTCTGCAGCAAAGAGAATACAGGCAGAGGTAACAGATATTCCCTGCCTTCATGTGCCAAACCTCCTTGCCTTGATGCTGGGGCCAGCTGGAACTCCTGGGATAATGAGAACCTCACAGCATCTTCCTTTCCCACCCAACCTGAGCCAGATAGTGCAGTTGGACATGGCCAAAACTTGCAGCAAATTCTGCTGTCCATGCAAACAGAGTGGAAGGGGAGGGAAGGATGGACAAGCAGAGGGAAGCACTGCCTGGCCTGCACAGAGCACTGCACAGAGGTGCAATGTGACAGCAGTGTTGGAGGAGTGGACTGACTTCCCCACAGCTTCACCCTTTGGGTGAGGCAGAGGCAACTGCCGAAGTTATAACCTAGTCCTCAGGATCTGGTCAATGGGACATGCTGCTGGAAGACAGGGCAAACATCCCCTCCAAAATCAGAGGGGAAAGGCACACCCTGAGGATGTGGAGGTTTTCCCTCTGCTGTGATGGAGGAATGTGGAGTAGGTCTGATTTGGAAGATATTCAGCAGAAATCATCAAGGGGGCCAGGATTTGAAGGAGAGCTATTGCAGGTGGAGAAATGGCAAAAACAGGTTCTGAGTGAAGGAACAGCAAGGCCAGAGAGGTAGGAAAAAAACAGAGAGGAGTTTAAAAATCCTTCGATAATAACAGCTCTTACACTGCATCCAGCCTTCACTCCGTCTCCACCTGCACAGAGCATGGTGTCCTTCGCCTGGGATCCCCACCAGTCATCCTGAGAGCAGATCTCGTGGTCAACCACTGGCAGCATCACCTCCTGCAGCCTGTCTGCGCTGCCACCCCCCGCTAGCAGGGAAATGGGGAGACGATGGTCCAGGAGCTCCAGGAGTTGAGGAAGGAAGCTTTACCTGCACAGTGCTCCATCTGGAATTAGGGGGGGACTCTCAGCACTCCTGCTTCCCCCTTACTTACCACTAACCACCCCCCAGCCGGTGACATAACAGGGGTAGTTATTGGGCAGAATTTCTCCTCTGCGTGGAAGGACTCCCAGCTCGACAAACCCGTTGGCACTGGCAGGAGACTCGAGGCGCAGCAGGGCGATGTCGTAGCTGAAACAGGGTAGAGGGGAAAGATTCCTCGCTGAAAATCCCGAATTAGTAGTAAACCAGGCATCCTGGCATGATGCACCTTGCAAATACGATTAATTATTCCTTGTAGATATCACAGGCAACAGGAAAATAGGAGCAATTGAGGGAGAAGAGGCCGTGGTACAGACTGATAAAGGGCTAATATCCCTCGAAAGCCTCCTGCTGGTTTGGAGCTCTCCAACCTCTGAGTGAATTTTGGTCCATCCTGGGAGGACAGGCATGTCTCTGAGGGGTGACTTAGGACAGTCCTTCAGCGTTTCCTTGCTGGCTTCCCCTCATCAGGTGCACCCCTGAATCTGCTGTGCATCCAAGATCCATCCATTTTTTTCCAAGATGGGGAAAAGAGACACATCTCTTCCCCATCTTGGGCAAAACAGGACTGAGGTCATCCACACAGGCACAATGGAACACCTCCAAGAGAGGAAGCCACTTGGGAAATCTCCCTTGCACAATCTTTCAGTGCTTCCCACAAATCCAGTCTCGCTGGGAGTTAGATTGAATGCACACACAAATGCTAGTGGGACAGGATACTGAATATCATTCAAACATTCAACATTACTCAAAATAATTACCCATTGGCAATGTCATTGGGGTTCCAGCCATTGTGAATGAAGATTGCATCCACATCCACGTAGTACTCGGTGCCATCCACCTCCAGGAGGTTGTGCTCACCCAGAGCTACACGGTAGGATGCTCCTGGGGGCCTGAAAACCAATCACAGAATAATTAATGTGAAAACTACTGCCCACCAAGTGCTTTGCAGTGTAAATCCTTCCACCAGTGCAATAATTTCCAAAGCACCTTCCATCAAAGGATTTTCGATGGACTGTAGCTAAATTTGTTGTGAGCAAGTCTAGAGAAGGGCAACAAAGCTGGTGAAGGGTCTGGAGCACAAGTCTGATGAGGAGCAGCTGAGGGAGCTGGGAGTGTTTAGCCTGGAAAAAAAGGAGGCTTAGAGGGGACATTATTGCTCTCTACAGATGAGAGTTGGTCTCTCTTCCAAGTAACTAGTGACAGAATGAGAGGAAACAGCCTCAAGCTGCACCAGGGGAGGATTAGGTTGTATACTGGGAAAAATTTCTCCACTGAATGGGTTGTCAGGCATTGGAACAGGCTGTCCAGGGAAGTGGTGGACTCATAACCCCTGGAGGGATTTAAAGGATACTTAGATGTGGCACTTCACGACCTGGTTTAGTGCTGGGCTTGGCAGTGTTGGTTTAACAACTGGACTCAATGATTTTAGATGATTTTTCCAACCTAAATTATGATTCTATGATTCTAAATGGAACCAGGAACACGCTGCCTGCAGTCTGCTGGCAAAGTAAGTGAAGGTGCAGCATCAGCTGACACAGTGCTGAGCTTGGCCTTGAACGAGAAGGTTCTTTCTGCATCTCTGTATCTTTCTGAAACAGAGTGCGAAGGAGCAGCTTGTTACACTTCATTGGTGTTACAGCTTGTTGGTGTCCTGCCGCACTGCTGAGGTGGTGCATGTCAGACATGCTGCAGAGCATGTTGTACAGCACAGCTCAGGTGCCAGTAAATGTGCCTTTTGTTCCTTCTTTCCATCTCTGTGCAGGTTTCTCGGGATGCAAACCCACTGGAAATGCTCACAGCCATGCAAATGCACCTCTTCGTATGCAAATCAGCAATCAGCTTGATTTCCACTCCCAGGAAGTCAGCAATTACGATATAAAATCAAGGCTAAGGCAATGAGAGTTTTCCAGTTCCCTTGATTAAGTGAGCAGCGAGATGTCCAGCTGTGCAAGGCACGGAACCAGTGGGGAGCTCAGGGGATGAGAAGGATCTGGCTCCCTTCTGCAGCAAGAACGAGGAGCAGAACAGGAGTTTTAACACTTTTCATCCTACTCACACGCTGAGGCAATGGGCTGCAGTCATGACCCACTTGCTGCTGATAAGGGTTCCACCACAAATGTGAGCATAGTACCCCGGGTCGTTGGGGTAGGCAATCTGAAGTGATACCTGGAGGAAACATCAACATGTTTTACACCTAAGACATGCCCCTGCAGAAATAGTGTGTGTGTGGCTTTGGGCAGCAGAAGCTATCCTTTTCTCATTGTTGTGCTTGGCTTTATTTTCAAATATAAGGCTTTCTCTGAAGTATAAGACACACCAGTATTACCTGCCACTTCCAGCTGTTTGGTTGGGCTTCATGGCCTCCAATTACTCGCCCTGTCAGCACATCCTGAAGAGTGTCCCTCAGGGGGCTTCCAGGGATTGCCCCTAACACACAAAAAAAAGGAGAACAGCTTTTGCTGTGGACTCCTAAAGAGCATCAGTCATCCCAGCCAGTCAAGTCTGAAAGATGGAGTGACTGAGACCTGCACGTGGTGACACTGTGATCAATCTCCATTCTGGAGGCTTCTTGAAAGCCTCCATGGTTGAAAACTGCCAGAAATAGACCTTAAGATACAAAGCTCTCATATAAACTGACTCATTCCCCATACTCCAACCCCACCCTGCTGCACCAACATAAATTCTCTTTCCTATGGGGTGTAGGTTTCCCCTCCCTCTGAGAACTTCCAGATCTTTCTCATGGAAATAATGCTCCTGCAAAAGAAGAAAACCCTGCCACATCAGGGTTTGCCCTAGCACAATAACTGCAGAGAAAAAAAAAATTATATGTTCTAATGTACATCACTTAAAGGTTGAGAGGTTCACCCTTCCCAGATCAAATAAATTGCATCTTACCCAGGCAACTCAGAAGAACCAGAAACCGAAGCATCTTTAAAAAAGTGGTCACAATTTTCCCAAGAAAATGTCTTTTTATACTAAAATATCTGGTACGAAGCTGTGTCAAAATTTGGGATCAATACAACTTATCGATACTCGTGACTCACTAAACTGACCAAAAATGTTCTCTGTGTGGAAAAAACCCAAACTGCTCAAGGTAGAGCCCAAGGTTACACAAACAAGTCCACACTGCATGGTTCCCACAGGACCATGAAACAGGAAAAAAAAAAAAGAATAAAAAAAAAAGAAAAAAGAGAAATTTTGAGTGCTCTCAGATCACTTCAAAAACAGGAAAAAGTGAGGGGGGTTCAGCCTAGGCTGGACATGTTAAACTGATCTTGTCTGGACACACAAAGCCTTTTTTAGGATCCTTTTCTGCTCCTTCCTCCATTTGGAATGAGCCTGGATCCATCCTCTTTGCACCCTCCCTTTGGGTATTTATGCACTTTGATGAGATCCTTCCCTTCTCCAGGCTGATCAGTTCTAGATCTCTGGTCTTTCCTTGTGGGAGCAGTGCTTCAGTTCCCTCCTCATCTGTGTGGCGCTCTGCTGGAAAAGACAGCATGGGTCACCCACCCAGGTATGCTGGTAGAATCTACTCCCCATGGAAAAGACACTGTAGGATCAGGACTTTTTCCCCTATCATTCCTCTTCAACAAATCCTCTTTATTTTACTGGAAGCCATAAAAAATTCAGTGCGATGTTTCAGCACTGAGACTTTATTTTAAAGTCATTGAACACATTTTCGCCTTTACATCACAGATCATTGTTAGCTTCCCGTTAGTTTTGGCTAAGGAGGTCAGAAAGTGGCCTCCTACCTAAGGAGTCTCTTCCCTCACTTTCACTACGTTCATCATCCTTAGATGTTAGTCTGGGCCAACTCACTCATTTTTTTTAATCGCCAATTTATTTTTCTAAAGGCTTTATGAGTTCCATACATAAGATGTTGTTTAAGAATGCAGTTGTTTCTTCTCCTTTTGGACACTGGGGCATTTGGCTTGAGCAATTGCTTGTCCGTGATCTGCCCTCTGCAGCCATGAACACAGTATCGTGCTCATTGTGCAGCTTTGATGTGGGGCTGGGTTCTAATGCTCAAAGGAGAAATAAATTCCACTGAGGATGAAGAATTACAGCTGTTTTCAGAATTCCTCCACTCCAGGCATTGTTTCAGTGTAGGGCTCTTAAGGGATTGCCTGAGTTTCCCTCTGTGTTCTACATATGTGCTTGTGGAAGTGGTTGACCTACAGGACATATGTGAATGGAGAGAGGGGAGTGCAAGCACTGGGACTGGGAAGTTGTTCCATATACAAGCACTTGCCAGGGTGAAAAGGTTTGAATTTATGAGTTAGGACTTCAACTGCAGCAGGAGGAAATGAAAAAATACTGAGATTTGTGTTAATGGCAATGAGAAGCTTGATTAATGGAAGTTGTCCTTGCCTGTGGCAGGGGGTTTGGAACCAGATCATCTTTAAGTTCCCTTTCAAACCAAACCATTCTGTGATTCTATGATTAGTTTTGGTATCTCAGCATTACCACGGACCTCCAGCTGTGAAGCTTGGCTGGAGATACTGAAGTCTAAAGGGGACACTCAAAACAGAACATCTCAGCTACTGCTAAAGCTCAGCAGCCCATAACCCTCCAGGGGCTATCAAATTAGTTTCAGAACATGAGGAGTCCTGGAATCGGAGCCCAAAACTCTTCCTCTTTGAAGGAGAATCTCGAGGCATAGCCATCTCAGGGTTTCTCGCACGTGCAGGCAAAAAGGGATTTCGGTGCTCCAAGTCTTTACCCTCAAACAAGATGAGGAATCTTAGAGAATCAGAGAACCTCCTGAGCTGGAAGGGACCCACAAGGATCATCACATCCAACTCCACCACCACAAAGCCAACTCAAGTGGCCCTGTTTGTGTCCAAATGGCAAAACTCTTCTATCTCTAACCCAGAGAGGTCTCATCCATGGAACATGGGGTCTTTTCCGTACTGGTTTTCCAAATCATGTGTAAAAGTTGCTACAAAAACCATGGGCTGGTGCAAACCGGTGTTATGCCAGAGTGTGCTAACAGTTATCTGTACAAAAAAAAGAGGGACAGTGTCTAAGTTGGTGGTTCAGCACTGTTTAGTTAAATGGTGCTCTGACATTGTTTATTTAATTAGTGATCTAGAACTGTTTAATTAGTGTATAGCCTTTACGTCCTTGTTCTCAGAGGATCTGAATTAAATATTGGGATGACAGCAGCATTTTCTGGGTGTGTAGGTTATTTTCAGAATGATGGGAAGCACAAGGGATGTTGTGAGTGGTAGGATGGATGGTGGGGAAAGATTCCAGGACTGTACAAGAAAATAAGGACATTTGGGTGGACTTGATGAGATCTGTTGGGAGTTACTGAGCACAAAGATGAGGATCATCCTTCAGGGAGGCTCTAAAGCCCAAACTAAATTCCAGATGCTGGGAGGGTTCACTGTGCGTGTTTGCTTTATGCCTGCTCTGCTCTTACATTCCTTTCCTAACCTATAAATATTCCTAGCTTATCATCATCTGGAAATAAGTTAGGACAACATAAGTGGAAATACTTCTGCTATAAAAGAAAAAAAAGTCTGTGGGTATACTATCCTGAAACCATCATTAAAACCTTGACCTAAAGCACAGGTCTTAATAAATGTACTACTGAGGTCTTATTCCTCACTAAATGAGGATAACCAATCGATGAGGATAAAGGAACAAATTACATCCTTCTTTTCGCTGTTGAGCTAGGTAAGAATGATGTGAAAATGCTAATTTGTCAGACCACACTGTTTACATCCTGATGAATATCTTTGAAGGCTCGTGTAAAAAGTATCCAACTCAACAGAAATTTTTAGAAAGGAGGAAATATAAAACCAGTAAGTGCGAAAACTTCACGTTGCAGCACTGGCAATGAAAAGTGGCATAAGGTAATGCCAGTATAATCACTCTAATGATAAAAATGTTTACTAAATTTAAAGTCAGTCTCACAAAATACACACAGTTACCCCATATTTACTGATGTTTCACAGGATGATGTTTGATGGAAAGGGCAATTAATTTTAAAGGGGATTAGAAATAAAAGGGAAAGGGATAAACAAAAATCAGGGACACAAAGGGACAAGGGATAAGTAGGGTGATAATGAAGGGCAAAAGTCTCCAGATCATAACTGATGGCCCACTGGGGAACTACAGGCTGAGCTTTGGAGGGAGCTCACCTGGATGGTGCTACTGATAAGAAAGGAAAAAGGTGAACTTCATATTCACAGGGTATTCACAGGGGCTGTGCAGGACAAGTGCTTGGACTTGATCTTAGAGGCCTTTTCCAACCCTAATGATTCCATGATTCTATGACTAGGCGGCAAGTAGGAGATCATACAGCAGGTCCAAGGGCCCAGAGTCCCACTGAGGGCATGTCAGACTGGGCAGGAGAAATCCCAGGTCCTGAAACCTGCTGGAGATGACAGGTCTTATAATGTCCCTATCACAGACCACTGCATATGAAGGTCTTACTGCTTTTATTTAAAACCTTTCTGCACCACCTGGGGAGGTAAAGGATAAACTGCTTCAGTACATGCTTTATTTGAAGAATAAACCAGCACATAAGGATCAGTGAATGGGCAGGTGAGCAAAAACTAGCAACCCATTTTTTTTCCTCATTCATCAACACCTGACAACATCCAGTTCACTTTTGCTGATTGTTGGAGTTGAATTCTGGCCTTGACATTTTGTTTTAAGTATCACACGGACTTGGGTCATTGTCGAAATAACTTGAATGCTTTCCTTCCAAGAAAACAAAAAAAATTTGAGAACTTTCCAGCCTAAAGGGGCTACAAGAGAGCTGAACAGGGACTTTTGACGGGGGCATGGAGTGATGGGATAGTAGAGAATGGCTTCAAACTGACAGAGGGAAAGTTTAGATTAGATATTTAGGAAGAAATTCTTCCCTGTGAGGGTAGTGAGGCCCTCGTACAGGTTGTTCAGAGAAGCTGTGGCTGTCCCATCCCTGGAAGTGTCCAAGGCCAGGTTGGATGGGGCTTGGAGCAGCATGGGCTAGTGGAAGGTGTCCCTGCCCATGGCAGGGTGCTGGAATGACCTGACCTTTAGGGTCCCTTCCAACCCAAACCTTCCAAATCCAAACCATTTTCTATGAAAATATAGAACAAAAGAATTACCTCGATTTCTCTTCATATATTAGTGATCATATTGTATCACTGTTGTACTACAAAAGGTTATGCAAAACCAAACAGGTTGTTAAAAGATTGTGAGATAACCCTCAGTTCTGCCTTTTAGAGTAAGCCCCCAGCACAGCACTAAAAGCCACTGAACATATACCTTTATCGTTTTATCTTGTCCTACAGACAGGTTTCCAGGATCTCATAATACAGATGAATTTAAATATTAAATCTTCATATTAGGGCAAAATAGTATTGACAAACCAGGTGGAATAGACAAATCAAAATTATCATAATTAAAACCACTGTATAAGC